TCACCGTCATGCGCGAGGTGCCCTTCACCATCATCCAGTTCCCCCTGTGGGAGCGCCTCAAGGCCTGGGGCCGCGCTCGCAAGCAGCGTGCTGCTGCTGCCGCCGCCGCCGGGGGCAACGCCAGCGATCTGGCCGCCGTGGCCGACGTTGGCGCCGTCGAGAGCGCCCTCTACGGCAGCGCCGCCGGTGCCGTCGCCGCCGGTCTGACGACGCCGCTCGACGTGCTCAAGACGAGGGTCATGCTGTCCGAGCAAAAGGTCAGGGTCGCTGACGTCTTGCGGAGCGTGTGGCGCGAGGAGGGCTGGAAGGCCTTCTTTGCCGGCACCGTGCCGCGCATCACCTGGATCAGCATCGGCGGCGCCATCTTCCTGGGCAGCTACCAGTTTGTCGTCAACACAATGCAGACCACGCGCGACAAGGAGAGGCGCCTGGCCGAGGGAGTTCTGTGAGGGCAAGGAACGCACGGCCGAACACGTCAGGCGGAGCAGAAAGGAGCACGACAACAGGGGCGGCCATCGTCCCTCAAAACACGGCAGCACATAGCGTTGATGAGCTCTGATGGTAGCGGTATCCCATGCTACGACAGCGACGTATGTACACTACTCATTAGAGGAAACGGAATACCCCTTGGATATATAGAAGTATAGAGACACCAAGAAACACCTCGGACGCTGCACCACAGTACCGCCACCTGCAACCCGTACTAGGTTCGCCACACGGGCTCGGAAATGCACATGACGCATGTCGTCACTTCTTCTATGCCGCTGCCGTCGTAGGCGCCGTTGTCGTCGCTGCCGGAGTGGTCGTTGGGGCCGGCGTCAAAGGGGCGGCAGACCCGTCCGCTCCATTGACACCTGCCTCGGCTGGCGCCGCCTCTGGCTCGACTGGTGCCGCCTCTGGCTCGACTGGTGCCGCTGCCTGTGGTGTCGGGATGGGATTCTCAATCACCTTGCGACCGTTCGCCTTGTAGTGCAGCGTGATGTCATTACCACCCTTCCATACGTGTGCACGTAGCGTGGCCAGCGTCATTGTGTTGGGTAGTTTCTACGTTCCGTTAGCGCCCTTCTCCGTCCAATGCAGTGTGTCAGACTCACCATGTCGTTGCAGTACAACTCGAGGTACTCATCTGGCCTGAGCGCATTTGGGTCGGGCTCTGTCACAGGCGGCTCGATCCTCTCTGCGACATACGACAGGATCTTCTTGACGCGCAGCATTCTGTTGGCGTTCAGGCGGTTGTTGCCATCCGTGGCCGCCAGGTCGGGAAGCGAGTTCTCCCACGGCACCAACACAAACGACACCTTGACTGGGTCTTTCGGCGGGATCTGGTTCTGCAGAAGCACCTCTCCCAGCCACATGGGACCACGCTGCTCAATGACGTCGACATCCTGGCCGACCGTCTCGACCGTGCCCTGATACAAGTTGGCGCTCGAGCCAGACGTCTCCTCCTGAATGAATACTTTGGTACCAGAAGGCAGCTTGAGGACGGGCGTATCGTTGTACAGACTGGGCGTGATGCCCGTTTCGACAATCTTGTCGGGGCTGTCGGTGAGTTGCTTTTCATATTCGTTGCGAATACGCTGGACGACACCGAGGAAACTGTCGTCGACTTCCTTCTCGTGTGTTGACGACGACTCAGACTCCTCTGCCTTTTCATCCACAACTGCAGGCTTCTCTGTGCTGGTCGATGCCGAGCGTTCAATCTTCTTGCTTCCAAACGACATGCTGCCCATGCCCATGCGGAACTTCTTCTTGCCGAACGGCGTGCTGGGTGCCTTGCCGTTCGCGTCCTTCTCCTTTTCTTTACCATTCTCGGCGCCGGGCGATTTGACGTCACTTGCTGCGGGCTCTGATGGCGTTGCAGGTGTCTGTCCACCCTTCGAGGCGCCGTCGGCCGGTGCAATAGTGCTGGAGAAGTAGTCCCCATTTTCCACCGAAGTGCGGTTGGCGTGCGACGTCCTCTTCTCCAAGGGGCTTGCCGGTGTAGCTGCGCCCTCCGGAACATCTTGCAGACGGGCACCAGGGGTCGCCATGCCGATGGCAAGACCAGGGGGTCGGCGCCCACTGCGCGCCATTAGCACGCGGTGTCGTTGCAGATCCCGGGGCCCTCGCCCCCCCCAAATGTATTGGGCGGCATCTCGATCGAGGTGGGCGGGGCCACTCGGCGGGCAGCGGCGATCCTCTTCTCAACCGTCTCGTTGAGAGCTGCGCGGTGAATCTCATCCTTTTTGATCTCCTCGTCAATGACATTCGCGAACAAGTATCGAAGAATCCACTTTCCAAGGTTGACTGCAGTCTGTTAGCAACCACAAGTCGTTGCGTGATGACGGGTGCCTGACGTACTTCGTTGGTCATCCCTGAAGTCCACCGCCTCGCCCGGCGCCAGGTCGTCGGCGTACATCTCGGCGTCGAAGCAGTTGAAAGGTTCAAGCACAACCGTGAGGCTGCCGGAACTCGTATCTATAGAACACCAGGGGGCAACAGCTTCACGGGTGTTGACTTCGGGCTCGACGTCCTCTAAATGACGCTTTCCGTAGCTCTGGATAACCTCGCACTACATGAGACGTTAGCGGACCTGGCTGTGAGAAGCACGTCATGTGTATACAAACCCGGATCAGATCCCAAAGGAGCACATCGCCAGCAGTGTCTAGCGTCAGCACTCTTCTCCTGTCGTTTAGGAGCTTGTGCTTCACCAGGCCGAACTGGCCCTCGATGGTTTCTCGTGGAAGGTGGAACAGGGGCTCAGGTCCATGGGATGTCGAGTCGGGCGCGATTTCAGATCCCTTTCTCGCCGCGGCATTGCCGCCAATCGCCGCATCGGGGTCTCGAGCGACTTGCTTCGGGAATGTAGCCGTATTGGAGATTTTGAGGATCGATTTCGCTGGAATTTCCTTATTCTCTTCCTTCTTGTCTGTAGACTCGGCAGCTGGCGGGGGTGACACTTGTCTAGGCCGTGCTGTGGATCCAGAGGCTGACCGGTGTCGACGGTAAGCCTCGGGCAGCTTAATGTCTGACGACGTGTCGACATCGGGCCACTTGTTGATGGATGATGTAGATGTAGCTGTCCAGATGTAGCCGTCGGCAGCCAAAATCTTGCTAATGTTGCCATGCTCTTGCGCAATGGCAAGTGACAGGCCGTCGTCCATGTCCTCGAGCGTGCCTCGCACATCAGTCTTGGCTACCATTCCAGAACGGTCACTGCTGTAGAATATGCCCAATGTCGGGTCGTCCGAGTAGAGCGACCAAACACTATCGTTGTGCATGGTAAAGGTGTACATGCAACGACCAGCAGTGATGCTCCAGAGCTTGATTGTCGAATCGGAACTGGACGTCATGACGGTGTCGCCGGCCTCGTTGAGCAGGATGGAGCGCACGTTGTCCGTGTGGCCGACAAACTTGGTGACGGCGTCGCCGGTCCTGGGATCCCACAAGCGCACGCTGGACTCGGGACCACCACTGGCGATGATACGAGGTGCGACGCTCAGGGCGTAGATCGAGCCCTTCTCGGCCACCTCGCCCTTGTTGTCGATTTCAAGAGTCTTGCCGCCGCCGTTCAGGTCCCAGAGGCAAATCTTGCGATCGAGGCCGCCGGAAGCGACCCAGTTGGCCGACGGATCGTGGGGCGGGGTGGCGACGCACTTGACGTAGTCGGCATGCTCGCCAATGGTGATGGCATCTTTCTGGGTCTCGGAGTGCGGGCGCCAGACCTTGACGGTCAGATCGGACGAGGCAGATACGAGTGCCGTGTTGTTCTGGGCGAGGACAATGTCGTTGATCCAGTGCGTATGGGCCTGGGTTTGAGCGCGGAACTTGGTGGAAGATTTGGGCTTGGTGCTGTCGGTAGTCGCGAGGCCAGCTGCGCCAGCCTTCATGTCGAGGAGATCCCAGGCGCAAACGACGCCATCTCGTCCGCCGGAATAACTGCACGGTGGCACGGTCAGCAAGCGCAAAGACGTAGGGGGTGCAGAGGGTGTGGCGAGAGGCCTACAGAATGGCATTGGTCTTGTCAATGGCGAGTCCGTTGACGCCAAGTCGGTGGCCACCGGGTTGGGAGTTGGGAAGCTCGAGGACTGCGCGTGCGGGCACAACAGGTCAGTACGGCGATGAGCAAGGTATATTGGGGCTTGCCTCGGAGCCCGTCGGTGCGTGCTTGATCGTTCTGGCTCGTCGGCGTGTCCTTCCCTGGCTGTGTCGTGCGGGGTTGGGTGTTGTCGCAAGCCGCGACAGGCATGGATGAGGCAATCCGCAACACGGCAGACGGGAGAAGGGGGGCGTACCATAGCTGATCCTCTGGCGAGCCTTTTTCGCTGCCATTGTGAAGGGGTTGGAGGGGGAGAAGCGTGTGCTATTGCGATATCATGTGGTGACGCCGTGGGCAGAGGTTGCTGTCGTGGGGTAGCAGGTCTGAAGCGGTGCCAATGCTGAATGGGAGAAGGCCACCCGAGGAAGAGGAGGAGTTGCTCGAAACTGCTCTCCAGGCAAGTTTGTTGGGTCTTGTCAGGACAGGACCTTGTCAGGATCAGGACAGGACTTAGCCGACAAGCAACGCCGCACGCACTGCATCTGCAACTCCGATGATGGTGGGCGGTGGTGCTTGGCTTGGCCTGGCCTTGGCCTGGCTGGACTTGCTCGACCCGGCGGGCATGGGCATGCGTACCTGGCGCCGCGCTAGCTTGCTCCTGCCCCCCTCGTCCCCCCTCTCACCAGGACCAGGTGGAAGGTGCAGCCTGCGCAGGAGCAGCAGGAGGCACCCAGCGCCCGGCAGGGGTTCAAGGGAAATCGGCCCCCTCCCCCCTGGGCGCTAACCTCTGTTCGTTGAGCCCCGCAGTGCTGATTCGACAGAGGACCTGTCAGTGGAGTTCTGGCCTGGGGAAGACGGGGCCGCTAGATCTTTTTGGAAGCCATGCTGCAGCAGCTTGTTCATATTCCACGGCGGCTTTGTGCAGGCGTTGTCTGTCCAGTCGTCGCTTCTTCGACCAACCCCAGGCAACCATGCCACGAAGTGGTCATGGCCAAGAAGCGACGGCCTCACTTCGTCTCACTGTCAGCTGACGATGGCACTCCTTCGTGCTGTATGACAAGACGACATTGGCATATACTACCTAGGTAGGGTACCTACCGAGGTACCAAGGTAAGGTAAGGTAGCTAGTACTTAACGACCAGCTGCTGTGTTGCCCCGCAAGTCAAATTCACAGACTGGACATGGAACATGAGGATGCACTACCCAAGCAAAGCTGCGTCCACGAGCATAGATGCTTGCTGCTTCAGTTGGCCATGAACTCGTCGCATCTGAATTGGAAAAATCCTTATGACTCCTAAGCATGCGGCGCACCAGAGCATAACATGCTACCAGATGCTTCTGGTGCTTCAGCCCCTGGTCATCGAAGCAATCATCATAGTGCTTTTCCATTGGTGGCCTGTCCCGATCCGTCCTGGACGCAGCTTCTCACTGCACATTAACCCAGCTTCAAGCTTGAAAAGGCGTATGGCTCAGGATGCTCAGCTCACTCACGGAAGCCCAATCTCATCAACCTCCGTTATCTCAGCCAGCGCACCAAGTTGTGAGCAAATCTTTCCAGCTACCTCGTCACGTCTTCCTCATATGAAAGTCAGCCATTCGACGGCTCATTTGCCAGCCATCTGTCAAGGGATCAGCCCAATTTTCAACCTACGATGTCTCTTCGTTTGGCCTTACAACGCTTCGCTTGCAAATTTGCCGCGTGCCGTTGCCTTCCTTGACAGTGTTGTCCTCTCTCGGAAAGACAGCCGATGATGGCGCTTCCACGGCACTGATGAACCCTTCTGAATCCGGACTGATACCTCCTTCCAGATCCCAGTGTCCAGGGGACATCCTCACGGCTTCGATATACCAGCCTCGGGAGCATCACATCTTCAACCTAGCAAGTATATCCTCAAACCCGGCGATGCTCGTCCTCACATCCGTCATCGTGTCGTCTCTGCGCCTTCCCTCCTGCCCTACTTCAGCAGTCAGTGAATGCTCTTCCGCTTGAACACGACGACCATCGAACCTCGCTTCTCGCGCGCCTTCCGCACACAGGCCTGGCAAGTCCCCTCCACAGGCCGCGTCGCATTCCTCAACTCACCAGTGCACATGGCCAGCTTCGACTCGCTCGGCGGAGATGCAGGAAGGTGCTTCGTGTGGTGCAGAGTGAGGTCGCGCGTCGGGTGACCGAGGTTGTGACCGCGAGCGGAACGGCATGGGAAGGTGTTTTGATACTGGTGGTGATCGCAGGAGACGTGCAGCGTATAAATCTGGATGCACATTGTGCGCGGTACGACTTGGGAGTGGCTTCTCACGATGTTGATGTCGCCAGCGAGAGTCTGCTGGCTATTTTATACTAATATCGATGCGTTAAGGGGGTAGGAAAGGAGTTGTGGCAGTTGAACTGGCGAGAACGAAGGAAACCGTACAAATCGAAAGGCTGTCCATGCGGCTTGGATTATATCGGGCCCTACCAGAAGGCAGGTGCGATTGAAGGACGCTGTACTGTATTCATCCTCCTTGATGTGTTGGTGATAAAGACAACGAAGAAGACGAGATGACCAATATCGGAAACCACGACAGCGGACAAAGCACACATGCACACAAAGCACGCCCAGCAGCAGAACAAGGAGAGGACGACAAAGCTCATAAAACATCAGACAGGGGCAGCCGATCTCGAACGTCGTACAGGCCCCGAAATTCCAACAGGTTCTGTCCAAAAAAAAAAGTTGTTCTAAAACGCCATGCTGACCGAACACGCCAGAAAGTACAAGTGTGTTGATTTTTTTCACCCATCCTCCTCCCCTTTGATGCCCCCCTCTCCCTCGCCTATCGATTCTGGCCCCGCTCCCTGCCCTCGGGTATTCTCGCCTCAGTTGGACCGACCCTTCTGCCTGAAGCGGTCATTCTGCCTCGGCTGGCTGCCGTACGTCCTCCTGCCCTGGACCTTCTTGTCCCGGCCGCTGGCGCCGACCGTGACGTCGACGCGGGGGGGGACGGCAAAGCCGAAGCTCTTGGCGAGCTTGGCGAGGTCGAGCTTGTTAATGTCGTAGACGGAGCGCAGCGAGTGGCTCGCGTAGGCGTGCAGGTAGCTGCGGTAGCCGTCCTTGGCCGACTTGTTGAGGTAGTAGTTCTGGCTGATGAGCTTCTCGAGGAGGGCCTGGATGTTGGCGACCTTGCTGGCGGGGAACTCAAACTCGACGACGGGCACGCGCGCCGCCTTGAGGTGCGACAGGAAGCCCACCTCGCTGGGGTGCAGGAAGAGGAGCGACTTGCCCTTGGCGTTGGCGCGGGCGGTACGGCCGACACGGTGAATCTGGACTCGTCAGTATGCATGCCACATTGGGGGTGTCGTGTCTTGTGGAGAGGACTCACGTAGTCGGTGGGCGCATCAGGGGGGTCGAACGAGACGGACCAGTCGACGGAGGGGATCTGGGCGTGTCAGCAGTCTGTCTGGGATGGCACAATGTCAGGTTACGTACATCGAGGCCACGGGCAGCAACGTCAGTGCAGATGAGGGTGCCTTGCTTGGCATTGCAGAACTCGAAGAAAGTGTTCGTGCGAGCCTGCTGCTTCATCTTGCCGTGAAGACCTACGAGTCGTTAGCAAGTTGACCATGCGGCAATGTTCAGGCGGGAGAGGACGACGTACTCAGAACAGGGAGGTCGATGTAGTTCAGCAGCTCGGCGTGGTACTTGACCGAGTTGCAGCTGCTGAAGAAGACAATGACCTTCTTCTTCAGGTTCCTCTTCAGGAAGGAGAACAGCAGCAGGAACCGCTTGTCCTCGTCGCAGATGACGTAACCCTGCTCGAGGCCCTCGACGGTGCTGTGCTCCTTGGTCTGGTCGACGTTGATGTACAGCGGTCCGGCGCGGAGCGATATCCGCGCAAGGTCCTCGACCTTGGTCGTCTGGGTCGCCGAGAAGAGGGACGTCTGCCTGTCGGCGCTGGGCAGGATCTTGACAATCTGGCGCATCTCGTCCTCGAAACCAATCTCGAGGATGCGGTCGGCCTCGTCAATGATGAGGGTCTTGAGGTTCTTGAAGACAAAGGGCGTGTTCTGCAGGTGATCGAGCAGGCGGCCGGGCGTGGCGATGATGAGGTTGACGCCCTTGGCGAGCTTCTCGGCCTCAGCACGGCGGTTGGCGCCGCCAATGACAATGCCGTAGGTCTGAGAGTGGTGCTCCATGAGCTCGCGCGCGACGCCGAAGATCTGCAGGGCGAGTTCGCGGGTGGGGGACTGCGCATGTTAGCGATTGCTTGCATCTCAACGGGGCTACCATCCCAACGGGCATTCTCTCAAAACTTACCACGACGATGACACCGGTTCCATTTCGGGGCTTGAAGCGCAGCGAGCTGAGCATCTCGATGGCGGGGATCAGGAAGGCAAGCGTCTTGCCGGAGCCCGTCTTGGCCGCACCCAGGACATCGCGACCCGTCAGCAGGGGCGGGATACCTCTCCTCTGAATCTCCGTCATTTTTGTGAACCCCATGCCCTCTATCGCCTTCATCGTCTTCTCCGACAGGTTGAGCTGCGAGAAGTCCTGCGCCTCCTCGCCAGAGGGTGGCAGGGTCAGGGCCTCGCGGTTCGGGATCTCCAGGTCAACATCTTGGTCGTTTGCTGCGGTCGCAACGTCTTCCGCGTTGGCTTCGGCCGCTTCAGGATCTTCGTCCTCGTCCTCCTCGTCTTGCTCCTCCTCTTCGCTGCCAGACTCGAAGTTGTCCTCAGACTCCTCGGCAGCGTCCTTCGCCTGCTTCTGCTTCTTCGACTTTCGGGAGACGGCTACCGGAGCCTCAGCGGCCTTGCGGGCAGCAGCCTTGTCACCGTTGGCGTCGCGGAGCTTGCGCTTCTTGTTGGAGGCGGCGTCGACCATTGTGCCGTTTGTGGTTTGTCGAGTTGTCGGGGTTGGGGAAATGCGTACCTCGAAAACGGTGTCAAGGCTCTCTGGGTCGGATTGAAGAGGTGGGATTTTTTTCTTATCGCCAGAAAAATTCTGGGACAGCGGGACTCTGTCAATATGCACATCCCCACAGCCCTACTCAATTTAGCACTTACTGTCTAACCAGAATTCTCGTGCGAGCCTTGCCCTTTTGGCAATAGATCCAGTGGATCGCTACCACTGCCTCCCCAACACAGTCACCCTGCATTTAACCCGTTTTGGTTAGGCAGGGTGCGTATCAGCGGCGCGTGGAGAAGGCTGGCGATTAGATAAGATAGGAATACCATGTTCTCCCATCCGTGAACCTGTTGTCCATCCCCTCGGTATCGTCTCATCACGAAGAGTCAAGAGGTGTCAGCTTTTAAACAATACATGACTACGCGCTCCTCAAGCGGAGAAATGGATGCCGTTTTCTTTCAGTGATTCCTTTCAATTTTTGCTTCCCTATTGCAGTTTCTCACGTGGTTCAGGTTCATCGCCAGATGGCCTTGCGAATGTGGCGGGGCAACACTACGCGCTACCTTACCCTAAGACCAGGACCTCAAGACCTGTTCACCTTGGGTGTTCAGGGATATGTAAATACATCAACGATTTACTCAGCGTGACTTGGGAGCCATGAATGTCCGATGGTCATACGTCAAATGGGTTCATTCATAATAACGATACAAGTCGCAGACCCGTTGCGACTCACACTGATCCCCGTGCCCTCAATTTTGAACCTGTCCCCCTCCTCGTCCTTGCAACTCCGCCACGGCCGAGCCGATCACACCAGCATGCCATCCTCAAAACGCCAATGAAGCAAATAATTCGTCGTCACCACTCAAGGAGTGTGGATCAAATGACAAACTGGGTCCCGTGTGTCGATGCATATTCCTGGGTTCTTCATGGTCCTCTCATTCGTCCTTGCCTCTAGTATCTCAGTGGCTGTGTTTCTCTTCCATCAAGCAAAACTAGATGGTCTCAGGCGTGGGGTTCTCGTTCTTCGCCGTGCTACCCTTGCCACGCCATGTGCTGACGGCGGGGATGTTGGCCTCATAGCGGACCTCCTCGGTGCCGTACGCGCGGGGAGTGAGCTTGATGAGGGTGTGCAGCGGCACGTTCATCCACGGGCTTTGGGACTGGTCCTTCTTCATGAAGTAAGCGTAGATGCAACGCAGCACGGCTTGATGCGTGACGATGAGGATGTCCTCAGAGCGCTCGAGTTCCATGATGATGGGCTCCAGGCGGATAACCACGTCGCGGTACGACTCGCCGCCACGGTAGCGATAGTTGTACTTGTCCTCGTCGCGGGCTGCAAAGTCGTCAGGGTAGCGGTCCTTGATTTCCTGATACGTCAGGCCATCGCAGACGCCAGAGTCGAGCTCGTCGAGCGCCTTCCACTGGAGCTGGTTGTAGTGAGGCGGGTGGAAACGGGCTGTGGCGATGGTGCGCTTGAGGGTTGATGTCCAGACCGTCAAGGGGCGGTCGTCGCCGACGGACTCACGCACGAGCTCGGGCAGTTTGCGAGCGTATTGCTCACCGCGAGGCGACAGCATGGTATCGCCGCCAATGCGGCCGTCGAGGTTGTACAGCGACTCGCCGTGCTAAAGCGTTTGTCAGCCTCGGGGGGACACGATTACTGGGTTTCATCGGTAGCTCAGAGAAACTCACTCTTGACAGCCAGATGGAGCGCGGGCGGATATGGAGATTCATAAGATAATAGACAATGCGGCTCTGCAGGTAGTCCTGAATGCGGTTGATGATGACTTGCTTGCCGACATCCATAATCTTGAGGAACGTGTAGCTGTTTTCGTCACCATCTTCGTCGATCGACGTGTACACCTGCTCGTAATTGCGAATGCGGTTGCGGAAGTCGAGTGCCGCCTGCTCGGGGTCTTGGCCAGCGTAATCGGGCGAAGTGGCCTTGACGTCACGAATATTGGCCATGATGAGGTCTTCATCATCACACTTGCTCTCAACAAAAATGACTTCAACGCCCTCCTTCGTGCAGCGGTCCAAAACCCACTTGCGGCGGTCTTTCGTGGAGTTGGTCGCGTCAAGAATGGCGACAGTGCCATTTTCCTTCTGGAACCAGGTCATCATGTCGGCGATGGCAGCCTCAGCGGCAGCGCGGCGCTTCTGCTCGCCCTCACGGTTCTTGACGTCGAAGAAGTCGGCGGTGGCTGAGCAGCCCGTTCTCACGGCGTAGTTGCCGACATTGAATGTCTTGGCCTCTTATTGAAAGCCATTTGAGATAACGTTGCGCTGGCGAAAATGTCAGCATCAGAGCAGCAGTAGAGGCTGTTATGTCTGGCTTGTCAGGCCTCCCTTACCCTTTTGGGCGATGAAGCTCTTTCCTCGCGCTGGCAAGCCCACCATGACCACGCAGACCTTGGTGTCTTCCACCTGGACGCCCATGCCGTTAGTCAATCGCACCATCTTGACTTAATTGCCGGTACGGTAATATGCTTTGTTTGAAGAAAAGTGATAAAATGTAAGAATAGCACGAGGTAGAATTGGAACACATGAAGGAGAGGTGCTTGTCGTGAGGTCGGGGTCGATCTGAGTCCGCGTGACGCCAGGGGTGAGGTGGTGTTGGCAAAGCTGAGCTCGTGTGATAGTTGCAGCACCGGCAGCAAAGCTCCCAAAACGTCTAGGAGAAGTACGAGCCTGACTCAAGGCTTGAGACGGGCTTGGTGGGGGGAAGTAATGCCAGACGCTGTGATGGCGGGCCAATTGAGAACCGCAAGGTGTGAAGAGTAATGTTTGGGCCCCGGGACAAACCGCCAGAGACGGATACAATGAAAGGGCAACAAGGTGAAGCAAAGAGGTGGTGATGGGAATGGGGAAAAGGTGCTGCTAGCCCAGCTCTGGCCAGTGGAAGTGGGTAGATGCTTCGTCTCTCTGGCAGGTGCGTGGATCGTCAAGTGGGACAAAGACTCTTCCGGCCGTCCTTCTCCTAGGGCTGAAGAAGAGCTCTCTGCCAGTTCTTGAGGGGTGTTCAAGGGTGAAGAAGAGGCCGCCAGAGTCCAGAGCAAACGTTGAGGTGGTGGGTAGAGTGGACCGACAACTGGTAGGTAGTAGGTAATGCCAAAACCACAGCACCAAGAGACCAGTCGAACGAATGACGAATGGCGCGAGGATTCCCGAGGATGGACAGTTGAGTGCGCGGGGCGGCAGGCGACGGGTGACGGGTAGGGAGGGTCCTTCGGGAATCGCAGGATGAGCTGATGGGGCCTTCTCCGACACCATTGGCCCGGCCGAATGCCCACACCGTCTATTCTCTCTTCCCCGTAGCCCGTCCACAACTTCCAGAGAGCCGACGAGGGGCGAACAGCGTGGGGTGAGAAGGTCAAGAGACCTTGACAAAAGTGGGTTGTCCTGTTGTCCCTGCTGCTGGCTGGGTTTGGCTCCTCTACGACAGGCTTGGCTGCCCCACCCCGCATCTCCAAGTTCGTCCAGCTTCAGAGAACGCTTCTGGCTAGCTGCTTGGCCGGGACCCCGACACATCACTCTGGGTCGCGGTCCCTTGTCTTCACGGAACAGCCGAGGTGGAGCCCAGCGTCCTCGTCCGTAAAGCACTGCGATG